AAGCTATTCTGGAAATTTTCACTTACATTTTGGGGATTGAGATTTTAATTTACATGCTGCTTCTTCCAAGCTGTTTTAAATAACTTAAGACTTTTTTTTTGTCTAAAGCCCTGAGGTAACAGGTCAAAATGCAAATATCTGAAGCCACTATGTGTCCTGAGCCTGTAATCAGCCCTAAAATCTGCTTTTTTATCTAAACTAGGGTGACCAGACATCCCGCTTTTGGCGGGACAGTCGCGCTTTTTAACAATTTGTCCTGCGTCCCGTGGCAATTTAAAAAATTCCCGATTTTTGGAAAGAATGCACGAACAGGCGGGAGAACAGGAAGGGAATATACAATTTTTGGCTGCCATGTGGCTATTTCGCCAGAATATGAGTTTTATGTTATTTTTGTTAATTTTATAACGTTAAACTGTAATAATAACAAATAATTGTTGAGAAGTGATTATCAAGAACTGCTTATCAAAGTTTGCATTGTTGTCAGGCCCTGCCCTGCCCCCCCCCCCTTGTCCCGCTTAACAAATGTTAAAATCTGGTCACCCTAATCTAAACATCTTGCTGTGGCTGAATGAAGCTGGGTGGCAGAGAACATACTGAAGGCTTGTGAGCCCATGGGGGGTACTTCAGCTGACAATAGTGGATACTTAAAAGTTCCCAGAACGGACAGTCTGTGCTCATAGCAACCCAGGTTATCCTGCTGGACAAGTGCAGTACCTGGAAGTGTTGCAGTAACTGCCAGAGCAGTGAAGAAAAGTCCTCATTCTGTGCCTGCAAGAACTGAGTCTTGATAACCCTATTGTAAAGGATTTCCTGTCCTAATGTAGATTAATGCACCGTAGAGATGGGAGGGGTTTTGTTTCAGTTTTTATAATACATGGAATAAGAATCCAGAGTTCCCGGCATTTTAACTCTTTGTTCTCTATTATTTATTCTGTGAATTCAGCTGCAGTGGTCTGGTCACACATCTCATCTTCTGAAAGCCATAATTTCTTTTTTATTCTTTTGAGACAGTCTTACTTTGTCACCCTCGGTAGAGTGTCATGGCATCACAGCTCACAGCAACCTCAAACTCTTGGGCTTAAGCAATTCACTTGCCTCAGCCTCCAAAGTAGCTGGGACTACAGGTGCCCACTGCAAAGCCTGGCTTTTTTTTTTTTGGTTGCAGTTGTCGTCGTTTTAGCTGGCCCGGGCTGGGTTTGAATCTCCCAGCCTGGGTGTATGTGGCTGGCGCCCTGCCCACTGAGCTATAGGCACCTCCTTACCCCAAGTTGTTAATAAACTTGTGATTTTTTTGCCAAGATGCAATTTCTTACCCCAAGTTGTTAATAAACTCGTGATTTTGCCATGATGCTACATTCCCACCCCTTCTCCTCTGTCTGCCTTTTCAGACTCCCAAGCGTTCTCCCCACTGTTCAGGCCCCGAGGTAGATAAGTCCTCCTGAGCAATTCCCACTCCTTCAGGCCTTCTGCCATCCACTCCCAAGTCCTGCCCTTTATGCCTTCTGAATATCCTGATCTGCACATCCTCATCTCCTGGGCAATCACTCTCACAGAAGCTGCTAGAGCCTCCTAGGTGGTCCAGACCCTGGTAGACTTAGACTTCCCAGGACCAGAGGGATGGAGAGGTGGCTCCGGCTGTCAGGGACAGGCCAGCACCTATCTCATGCAGCATCCTCTTTTTGTTTTGAGACAGAGCCTCAAGCTGTTGCCCTGGGTAGAGTGCTGTGGCATTATAGCTCACAGCACCTCCAACTCCTGGGTTCAAGCAATTCTCTTGCCTCAGCCTCCCAAGTAGCTGGGACTACAGGTGCCCAACACAGTCCCTGGCTATGTTTTGGTTGTAGTTGTCAGTGTTGTTTGGCAGGCCCAGGCTGGATTCGAACCCACCAGCTCTGGTGTATGTGGCTGGCGCCTTAGCTGCTTGAGCCCATGCAGCGTTCTTGATGGACTGGCCCTGAGGCCTGAGAGCCCTGGTGCCAGTTGAGGCTGACATGAGAGGAGTGGGTGAGAGGGCGGTGAAGCTGGACCAGAGGGCTTCTGGTGCATGAGGACCAAGAAGAGACTAAAAATGAGAAAAAAATCTATTTTGTATTTATCCATGTACTCACTAGTTTTGTCATTCTTCATTCTTCTTTGATCTGAATTTCCATCTGTTATTTGCCCCTGTCTGAAAAACTTTATTATTTTAGAGACGAGGTCTCACTCTGTGGCCCAGGCTGCAGTACAATGGCACCAACATAGCTAAGTGCAGCCTCAAACTCCCAGGCTCAAGTCATCCTCTTGCTTCAGCCTCTTGAGTAGCTGGGACTACAGAAACCTGCCACAATGCCTAGCTAGGTTTTTTTTTTTTCTATTTTTAGTAGGGACAGGATCTTGCTTTTGCTCAGGCTGGTCTCCAACTTCTGAGCTCAGATGATCCTCCCTCCTCTGCCTCGCAGCATGCTAGGATTATAGGCATGAGCTACCACATCTGCCCAGTTTTCTTTCCTTTTTTTTTTTTTTTTTGGACAGAGTCTCATTCTGACCTGATGATCATGCCTAGAGTCTAGTGGCATGATCATAGTTCATGGCAGCCTCCATCTCTTGGGCTCAAATGATCCTCCTGCCTCAGCCTCCCAAGTGGCTGGGATTATAAGTGTGTGGCACCATGTCAGGCTGATGTTTAAATTTTTTGGTAGAGATGCAGTCTTCCTATTTGCCCAGACTGGTCTTGAACTCCTGGCCACAGTTGATCCTCCTCCCTTGGCCTTGACAGGTACCGGTATTATAGACCATGTGCCTGCCTAATGCCTGCTAATTTTTGATTGAATACTGGCTGCTGTGAATTTTACACTATTCATTCAATATTCACTTAAAGCATGTTGCAGTCAGTTCTGACAAAGTATTTTATAAACTTAAGTTATTGCAGCTATTTGAGCCTTCTGAGGCTTTTAAGCTTTGTTAGGACAGGTCCAAAGCAGCTTTTAGCCTAGGATCAATTCAATCCCAATATTCAGGTGAGAAACTTCTGAGGACTCTGCCCAGTGCTCCATGTATTACAAAGTCTTTTAATTCCAGCTGGTGGGAATGAGAACTCTTTCCAGTCTCTGTAAGCTCTAAGGACTGTTTGGCCTATGCGGCCCTGTCCCTGTGCATTCACAGAGCAGCACTCAGCCAGAGATCAGCCACAGTTTTCCAGAACTCTCTGTCTATGCAACATTTCTCTCTTGTTCTCTTCCTCATAGATTCCAGGTATCTCAGCCTCCTTGAACTTCAACCTCTATCTCCTCAGTTCAGTGAAACCGACAGGTTCCCCTGGCTGAATTGCAGCCTCCACACTGTCTAGCAACCACCTAGAGCAATCATAGGTGTCTCATCACGGATACTCCCTTTCTCTGGGATCAAGTGTGAGCCAGTGCCCCACACAGCTGCTTGATGAATATATTTTGCACAGCTAGGGAATAAAATCAAAAGGGATATTTCCTTGATAATTAAATACATTCACATTCAGTTTTGCTTTTATAAAAAATATAGAAAAGTACAAAGTAAAAACAAAATAAGCTAAAATCATCCATAGTCCCTCCCTACAGCTAAAACAGATGGTCACACTTTGGTTTATGCCCTTTTCCTCTCTTTTCCCCTTGTTTTCTAGTTTTTCACGGTAGGAGGACAATTTCCATCACAGTGATCCTTTGTGGGTAGACAAGAAGTCCCTTGTAGTATAGTTTTACATTTGCTTCTCTGGGGACCCAGACCTTGATCATTTTTATGGGACTTCTTGGCTTGAGATTTCTACCACATGTGCTATGTATTTGGACCCCATAAGCATGCAGTGCTGGTTAAAGAATCCATTTATTTATTTATTTTTCTATCCAGAACCACCCCTAGGCAGATGGCAAACTTCTGTATAGCGTCTCTTTATTACTTGGTGATATTTTTACTATTCACATTTTTGTTTTGACTAAGCCACGCTTTATGCATCCCAGATTTGTGCAAGGGGATTAAAACTCCAGTCCCAAGTCCCAGGGCCTCTCACTAGGTAAAACTTATATTTTTGCAGTGCGGAGTCTGTATAGATTTGATTTTTATGTACTTGAAATGTTTTACATATTTGGCCTAGTACTAGCAGCTCAGCTTTATGATTCTAACTTAACATGTTTAATTGATTACAGTTTTATGTTGGTTTTACTAAATTTATATGTAATGTTAGAACATTTAACAGAACCCCCAACTTTCCATATTTATATGCTTCGTTTAGTAGATAATTAAAATTATTTAAGTTCTTGCGATGCTTTTTGTTTGATCCAGACAATAGTTGTACTTAAAAAAGGAAATATATTAATTTACGAATATAGTTTAATAAATTAAAAGGAATTTATTTATGCTATGAAATGCAGCCCTAAAATTAATTAATTTTTTTTTTTTTTTGGCCGGGGCTGGGTTTGAACCTGCCACCTCTGGTGTATGGGGTGGCACCCTATCCTTTCGAGCCACAGGTGCCACCCGCCTAAAATTAATTTTTAATAGCTATATTTTTAAATGGAAAAATAGGATTGCAAAGCTGAACGTTAAGGATTTAGGAAGATCCAGGTTTTAAAATTTGTGACTGGATTACATTATATATTTATTTTGTGAACTAAATTCCAAGTGGTCTTCTGTGTGTTACACTATGATGCCTTGCACCAATCTGTCAGGTCGCAGATTCATAGATTCTTATGTGTTAGAAAGTACCTTCAATATCATTAAATTGATGGATATAGTTTCAGTTATAGTTTCCCCTGTAGAAATATTATAGCAGCTTTTAACCTAAGCTATTAAATCACGATGTCTTTGGTTTAGTTTTGTCATTATAATGACTAAAATAATTCTTACAACCACTTTACTGAGAAATCTCAGTTTATAGAGCTCTGAGTACAAAAGCCACGTCCCGTCAAGTTCCTCTGCTGGATGGCATGGATCTTAGAGCACACTTCGACTTCATATGCTTTCATGCAGTTTTAGAATTAGGAATATACTGTTTTAGCTCAGTGCAGTGGCAATATTATAAACAGTGAAGTTTACCCCAGGCACCATTATTGCTAATTGGAAACGTTTCCCAATACCTTGCCATGATGACTTGAATATAGTTGACACTGGAAATTTTGTCAGTTTCCATGGAGACTGAATTTAAAAGGGGGGGGGCTAGGTGTTGTGTCTCCCTCCTATAATTCTAGCACTCTGGGAGGCTGTTGGAGCTCAGGAGTTCGAGACCAGCCTCAGCAAGAGTAAGACCCCTGTCTCTATTAGAAATAGGAAAATTGACCTAAGTGCCCTCAACACGTGAATGGATTAATAATTTGTGGTATATGTATATCATGGAATATCATTCAGCCATAAAAAGACTTTCCATCTTTTGAATTAACCTGGATGGAGTTGAAACACATTCTTCTTAGTAAGGTATCACAAGAATGGAAAAAAAAAATAAAGATAGACAATTAGGCAGGTACCTATAGTCCCTGCTACCTGGGAGGCTGAGGCAAGAAGATTGCTTGAGCCCAAGAATTTGAGGTTGCTATGAGTTATGATGCCATGGCACTCTACCAAGGGCAATGAGACTCTGTCTCAAAAAAAAAAAAAAAAAAAAAAAAAAAAAAAAGTAATAAGGACCCCAATGGAAGGCCCAAGAGTCTGAGCTCAAAGCCAGCTCCTATCTCCCTAATCTTTAGTTTCACTCCTTTCTGACTATGCAAAGTTATGTGAGAAGAAAAGAAATTTCTTTCTTTTTTTT